ATATAAAGAGCTTTCTATCTAGAAATGAAAAATTTGGTCAAGTGTCTACCTCCCTTAGAGCAGTAAGAACCCAAAACTTCCATCTAAACTCCACTGTACATGAACAAAACCAGCTGTTTTGTCCATCGTCCTGATTTTACCCTCTTTCCCAGCTGGAAAAGAGAGAGACCTGGGCATTTCTGCTGCCAGTAGGTCAAACAGAATTGCAATTATTCTTATACTGGTGGACATTATTCTATGTTAAGTAAAGTGCATCTGGTACATATAGTGAACAGACAAGTGCACAAACTTAATAGTTTAATAACTTAATAACTTGATGACAAGGGCACAAGATGGCCCCTGTGAAAGTTTGAGGCTTGATGCAGACTAACTTGCCCCCAAAAAATGAGAAAGCCTTTCCATCCAAGCAGGTGCTACCATCTCTGGTTGCTGTCATGCTCCTGGCATCTCTCTCCAAAGCAGCTGGACCTTAATTTGTTGGCAGGAAGGCACTGGAATAAATAGATGACTTCTCCCATGTGGTATCACATTAGACATTGCCTAAGCTATTGTGTATATTCTGGCTAGTGGTTTCACAGTCATTTGGTTCTTCACAGGCACGGAAAAATTCCCCGTGATGTGCACATCCACTCTCCTGTACCACAGCTAAGCGAGTTTGAGCTATTGCATCCAAGTTTGGTGTCATACCAGAGACTTACGTGTTGCTTTGAGCTATTAATCAAGGATAAGAGATTCTGGGAAGGCAGCAGACAATTTACGTCCCCTTTCTGTCAGTGCAGACCATGAATGTTGCTGTTGTGTGGCTGACGGGCTCTTCTAAGGGAAAATTCACTCCTACAAAGTCACTAGGGCTTTGCTGTGAGCAAATGAAATACAACGGGGGAAGCGTTTGGCAAAGACTGATCATTGACAGGTGGGTCTGGGGCAACCTGGGCAACAAGAATATCAACAAAAATTGTCATATTTTTCCCAGGAACATAAACTAATCACTTATTTAAAAACGTATCTCCCAGTTCAGACCAGTTCATGGTCCACGCACCAGATCCAGCCCACACAATAAATCCATCTAACATGTTGGCTTTCTGCTGTGGCCTTCAAGCAGGACAGCATGTTTCAGAGCTGTGTTGAAGCCCATTAGCAAAACCCCCAGGCAGACAGACCTGCGACAAAGGGCTGGTGACCCAAAATAGTTACTCAAACTCTAGCAAGCAGTACCCAGCTAATTTATGACCTAACTAACATTTTAAAAGCAGTGTTTTACACATCCTGCACTTAGTTAAAACCACCCAGTGAAAGGAGGAAAATGTCTTCCCTGTCGCACTGCCTGATGCAACCCAGACTGGAGCCAAATGAGAACCAGGGCTGTGCAAGGATTCAGCCACATTTTATTGCAGTCCCCACTGCACTTGGTGTTAAAGGCCATGCCATTTCAGTGCTTAATCAATATATCAATATGGCGAGTAAATGGCAAGGAGATTCGTATTTATCTTGTTACTCCAGGTCTGCTCATAAAGCCGAGTTCACAAGCCCGTAAAGGAGCCTGCATTACCCCCAGTAAGGGGAAGGAATTCTGCATTGGCTTCCCATAGGCTTGGCCACTGAGAGAACAGGAAAAGATAGTAACACGATAAGTAAAAGTAAACTCAGATAAAGCCAAAAGTAAGGCCTACAAATCTAGCAAAGCAATCTCAGCTCATAAATATGACCTACCAAGTGGACACGCTGAACAGCCTTTCACCTGACAGAGGCGGACTGATAAACTCTTAGTATAAAAATACCGTGATGTTTTCACAGGCAAAAGCCATTTATTTTGACATCTGTTTTGCCTGCATGAAAGTGTGGTGGAAATTTCAGCACCAATACATTAATCTAGACATGGCTGTTTCAAGACCCAGTGATTATTTGAATTGTCAGTGTGAGCCATTTGGTCCCCATGCATTCAGAGCCAGGAATCCACAGATAACAGTTTGCCTGTTGCTGAAGTTTAGCCAACAAGACAGTTTTGCTGGGGTGGTAGCTGTAAACTTCTTAGAGAAGTGGACAGGAAGGATATCTTCTGATGATGAGACAGATTAGAACAATCAACAAGAAGAAAGAAAATATAAAGGTTGATAGGAAAAAAAATAGAAAAAGAAATTACTAATGCCATGCAGAAATTCACAGTAGGACCCAAAGAAGGCAGGATGCTATAAGAAGGATTAAAATGTGATGTGTAAGCTGGGTAGTCTTGAGGGTGTATTTTTCCTAAAGCCCTTGGATTTCTCAGCCCTTGTGTATGTGAAGAGTAATGGTAGGACACCACCAGCCTCTTTATTCCCCCTTGGCATTTCCAAGAGGTCACCGAGAGCCAAACTGAACTGTACAAACTATCAATAACCAGTCAGTGTGTGACTCTGCAGACCTGTTGCAATATATTCACCTTGACTTCATGGACCACAAAGCACAGATAATGGTTTAGGAGCTGTTGCAGCATATCCTTTTGGCAAAGCATATTGTGCTGGAGACAGACTGGACCTCTAACCAAACAGCTTATCTCCAAAACTTACTAACTACTGGAACAAGACAGCAATTTGTATCTGCACCAGGGCTTTTTGCCAGTGTAGTTCTGTCAGTCAGATGTCACCAAGAGATGGGCCAACAAAGCTTCACAGCAGCCTGAGCCTGGACAGAGTAAATTTCAGTGTGAGTTTTAAGTTTTTAAAACACTGAATACCTGAGCTGATCTTTTGCAAGCAGGGCCCAGCTCAGTTTGCCTGTGATCAGGGTTGGCTAGCAGGAGAGGCAAAGCTGGATAACTATGTCAGTACTGACATATGGCAGATGTCTCTTCATCATACACATTACATCACTTGTACGTTCACGCACCCCATGGCCACACAGATGCCATATGAGCATCCTGCTTTGGAGGTGCTCTGCAGACTCCATACAACTTCAACCAAGGACTGACGGTGGAACTAATGCTCATGTGCAGTCCCAAACACCACTTTGGCCAGCTGAGCACTGGATGGCTCACGCACTGCAGCTGGAAAATTGCCTTCAGCTGAAGGGTACATCTTCCCACAGTCATCCCTTGAGCAGAGTAAAATCAGCAGAACAGGGGGCAGGTTGAAGGCTGACCAAGGTTGCAACTGGGCAAAAATTCTCACCTCCCAGCTGCCTCCAGTAAGCTGTGCAGGACACCTGTGGCCCCCACTGCTTCTGTGAAGGGAGCTAAGAAAAGCAAGCGTATTGTCAGTAGACTTATACAGTTCATACCTCTACTGGGACATTTTGAGAGTCCCTACACCACAAAAAGTTGAAAACCTGGGATCTGGGGAGGTTTCGTTCAAATTAGTTTATTCAAGTCAGGTTGAAGGAAGTGGATCGGGCATCTGGGCAGTCTCCTGTCTGCATTGGTACCAATCTCCCCACCCTGGTACCTCTTCCATGGGCTCTTCTACCCATGGACATCCATGCTCAACAGCTAGCCCCATTTTGAGTTCCCCTGGGAGCTGCACTCTGTACGAGCTACCTCCTGAACTGAGGAGCAGGAGGAGGGCTCTCAGCCCCTTTCCCATCTCTTCTTTCCCCCCTGCACATTACAAGGCAGCCCCAGCAGCGGGTCAGTGCAGCCCGTCCTGCTCTCATCAGCAAGTCTGGTCCTCGCTGAGCCTTTGTACTTTCAGGATGTCAGTTTTGTTCTGTTTATATGCTAGCAAAATTACTGTGTTGCTTTGCAAGCAAGTAAAGCTGCTGAATAATCAATCTGTCCAGCCACACTGACAGAGACTTCAAGTCTAAGAGATTTCAAACAGGACATTGTTTCCCAGTGCAGGAGCTATTAATGTCTATGAACTGGTTGGTGCTTTTCTCCTACAAATGTCTTACCACTTTAAAAAAAAAATCAGCAAGAACCTGTGTGATGGTTTCAAGCCTCCTCTTTGCCCAGTAACTATTAATCTTTCCCAGCCCTCATCAATGGCAGTTGTGATCAGCCGATGGGCACCTGTCTTCGCCCCCCTCCACCCTAGCCGTAGCTCTGTGTTCATTCCAGCCATTTGCTCCTCTCTAAACCAAGCAACTTTCCTGATGAATGTTTAGAGTCTTCTTGCTGGCTAACAAATGGAACTGGATTCCCTCCTTTTCTTTCTAGTTGAGTAGTAATGATTTAAGCAGATTAACTGGTTAACAAAATGTCATTAACACAGATCATACCCTTTATACAAAACAATGTGGATTACAGAGATCAGCTGATAACGGAGTTCATCCAAAGGCAATAAGAAAATATTTTCATCAATGTCAATGGGCTCAAAATGAAGTTCAAAGTAAACTCTACTAAAGGAGTAAACATGCTGAGTGTGATCAATAAACTAAGCCATGTTTTCCTTCATTTGCAACAGAATCTGTTTAACATGCCTTCAAATATTAGTGCTTCTCTTCCTCCCCATCTTGTGGAGCATCCACCACAGAGTCCTACATATTAAGCACTGCCACTTGACCTGCGATTGCATGACACAGGACAGGATGGGTTGCCCAAGAGGCAGCGCACCTCCACTGACACCCACCAAATATCAACCACTCTGAATGCTTCATCATTTCACAGCCTGGAAGAAATAAAATAATAAATACACCCTCTCAATGATCCATGACAAACCTACCCCAGCGCTCATGGTGGGGAGGCAGGAATCTTGTGCTTTCAAGTCCTATCACCTCATGGGGTCAGCTGGTGGCTGCAGACACAGAAGCGAATGTCCACCGGTCTCTGGGTCCCTGATGGCAGCAATGGGTGCAGCTCATCTGTCGGTGAAGAAGTAAGAGCTTGGCATAAAGCATTTGCGTCTGTTGTGACTTTAGGTTGCCTTCAATTTGGGTTGAATTTATGTGCTTGGTTTAGGCTGCATATTGTGAGGTACATGCTAATGTGTCTAGCACAGGGGTGTATTGGCATTTCAGGATTAAAACACATACAAATGAGGCCACTGGATTGTGCATGAATAACATATCTTGTTTCTTTCTTCCAGTAACTGTGACTGTGGGAGGACAACAACACTTGCTGGGACTTTATGACACTGCAGGGCAGGTAAATTACTGCAAAACATTTATAAGTTTCCTTCCCCATGGTTTGTTTGTTACTACCATATATTGGAGATTGTTGTTCATGATATTTGTGGGGGTTTTTTTACAAATACTAATAACAAAACAAAAAGTTTTCTACACAGAGATTTCATCCTGGGTCAGCAATATATACAAATACACTCATCCCTAAGACTGCATTTTGTTTAAGCAAAAAACTAAAGCCTGATGAGGCTGCTCAGCCTCCCATATATCCATCTCCTACTGCAAATATGATGTTTCATATAAAGTCAGTGGTTTTGTACCATTACCACATGGTGGCATTGAAGATACAGAAAATAATTCCTGTTTCCAAGATCAGAAAAATAATATCATACAGCACCAGCCTATCTGTCACCAACTATTGACTTTTTAAATAGTAACCCAGCCAGATTGGCACCCATCCCTGCATTCTTCTCCCGGGACAAGGATGTCCATTACAGGAGAGTCTGTATCCCATGCTTACTTACATATATAATGCTTTTACTCTTTCCACTGTCCACAGTCCGATACAGTATGCTTGCACTAAAAGTTTGCCGAAGAGCTCTGCTCTGTGGGCTGATTTCACCCCCTGGAGATGAAGAGAGAGTATTTCTCACTGCCTTGCTCTGCCAGTAAAAGGGCAGAAAAAGGTACAGGGAGCAAGACATTTTCACGGTGAAATTTCCCTCTCCTACCTCCAAATGCCAGCAACTGAAAATAAAGAAATTACCACCATCCACACAGAAACTTTGCAGAAAATCACCTGCCAAGAGGGGAAGGAGCAGGTCCCAGGTCCGTCCCAGCCTGGCAGGGCTGGAACCCACATCCACCAGCTCCTCCGGTCAGAGCTGGCACTGGGCAGCCGAGGATGTGCAGGAGGCAGCAGGAGATGAAAGCAGATTTGGGAGCCTGCTTCACTCTCTGGGACCCAGCAGCCCTGGATGCAGGGCTTTGCTTTCAAAAGCACTTCTTGGCTGTGGGTTTTTTTGGCCATGACTGACTGCTATGAAATGTATAAACAACGCAGAAGGAGACCCTCCTGTCTGCAGAGGCCACTTATTGCAGAGTATACTCTTCAGTAGTATGCAGAGAGGTCAAAAACCACATCAGGACAGACTGTCACTTCCAGAAAAACCTGCACTCAACAGGACTGGAGCTTTTATGCTTTGGGTTTCATTTTTTGTCCTATCATATTTTATTCCTATCACATGTCTGTAGGAAGCAACAGTCACTTCATAGCTAGCTTGATGTCACTTACAGTCCACCCATCCTTTTTATTTACATGGTGTAAACAGATGATCCAAAAGCCAGTCCCAAAATATGACCCAAGTCCTTGTCCCATGTTCAATGCATGTTCAATTTTCTATTCTGTGCTCACAAACACAGAGCTCAGAGCATGTCTGTCATGATCCGGCAGCACTGCAAGCCTTTGCAAATGAAACTGGAGTTATATTCCATTCTCAGTCAGATTTTACCCACTGCCTTAATATTTCTACTTGTTTTGTAGGGCTGACAGTTCCACCTGTCAGCCATTTCCTCAGCAACACATCCTTTTATTTGTCCTCCTGAGCCAGAACAAACACAAATCTGCCCATCTGACAAACTTCCCCCCTCCATCCGCTCCTCCACAATCATTTTGCCATCCTCTGCTTCAAAGTGGCCAGGGCACCACCTGCCTCCAAGCACCATTTCTAACTCATCAGGCTCATTTCCCTTTCAGACCTTGGTCCAGAGGACGTGGCCATCTAGTCAAAACTCAGAGCATGAATCACTTCTTGATGACTAGATTGTATCTCCATGGAGGCTGAGAGGATTATGCTTCCCACACGCTCAAGCTATAACGACAGATCATCTGGGTTGTTTCCTCCCTCCTTCTCCTTGTGTTGTGTGGCTTTCTAAAGGCATCAGCGTGAAGTCATAGCCAAAAATAGCACTTGACATTACGATGCTATAAAACATATGCTAATGAAATAACAATTGGAAAATGTACTCCTGCAGCAGGACCCTCTGTCAGCCTGAAGGGAGAGCTGGCAGAGACCCCAGATCTGGGGTATCTGGTTTTCTGCATCCTTGGCACAAACAGTCCTAGGAGGAAAAAAGCAGTGGTCTTTTTTCCCCTGGCTGGACTCAGGTGCGAAGTGCTTTAATGGGCTGACATGACAGGGAGCGTACGTGAGATCAGCACGGCAGCAACATAAAAAAAACAAGTTTTGCTGTACTTTCTGGGCCCGAGCGCTGCAAGGCTGCTGATGGCAAGAGAGCAGGAAGGGAGCAACAGCGGTTGATGCCTCTTGGCTCCAGCAAGTCATAAGCACATAACTCAGCAAGGCCAGGTCTGGTGCTGGCATTTCCATGCCAAACCAGTGACCAGGCAGTGTAACTGGGAAGCTTTGTGCTCCCTAACTAACAGACATCAAAACGCAAGCACAAGCCAACAAAACAAATTAATGATCAGCTGCAGCCCAACCCCATGAGGACTCACATCCCTTCCCAAACACCACTGTCACTAGCTGTAGCACCTCTGGATATGCCCCATACCCATGCAAAAGTCCAGTTCCTCTTTTACATTATTTATTTGCTTGATTTCAACCATCTCTGAAAGAGAAATGATCCTGAAGGTTTTCATAACAGTCCATTGCAGGTTTTTATAGCCTTCTCGTGGAGAGCAGGTACGAACAGAGGCAGGGTCCTTGTCTGATGTGGTTTGGAGGCTCCTGCCAGCCCGCAGACACAGGCATGTACAGGAGCCCGGATCAACTCTTATCCACGACATTTGTGCTTTAACACATCCGTGCAAGCTTCCGTGTGCCCTGACAGGAGACAAGACCTCTGCTACGTGATGCGTGGTTGTCCCTCCTTATGGCTTATATAATGCTCTGTGCCGCTAACACAAATCGGGAATGCTCCTCCTGTAAAAGGATTTTCTAGGGGCTACAAAGCAACAAGCAAAATAAAAAGAAATCCACACTCCGGTAGCTGTCACCATGAGGCAGTGCACTCATGCCTTTTAGTTTGTAATTTTAATGGTACAATAAGTTCCAGCCCCTCTAAATAAGCACGTCTGGAATATTGAAACTGGTTATATTTAGCCAGTTTCTCGGCAAAAATTCCTAAATCACGATTCCTCAAGGGCTTGCTGCCACCGCGTGGCTGTTTTAGGAGGGTGATTTGCAGCAGTTAAACCAAAAACACTGAAAATGTCTTTGCCGAGCACTTAGTATCAGCCCATGTTGACCGTGACATAATTTCAGAGAAGTCATCAGGTTTGATGTTCCAGGTTAAAATAATGTCCCATAATCAGGCCAGGGCACACAGCATCCCCATAAAACTCGACTGTCTCTGTAATGCAATTGCTCCTTCGCTCCTGTCATGCTGGCATCCACTTTGCCTCTATTAACTCATCAATAGGAGCTGGGTGTCATATCCAGAGTCTCATATAAATCTCCTCACGATGACTTTGCTTCTTCATGGCCTGTTTCGCTGATCTTCTCACAAACGCCTCTGAGTTTTCCTTCCTGACATTCCTTGAACGTGGAGAATCTAGTCTTTCTTGGATTGATATGTGCAAACACTTCCTCTTGTCATGTAAATCTTTCTTCAGATCGATACTTTCTGTGATACTGAAAAGATATAGGTCAGTTGACAAATACTCTGGGTTTACCCCAAATACTGTGGGTGTGGGGCTGGAGATGGTAACTGGGAAATTACTCTTCCTGCTCAAGTGGGTTTGGTACAATGAACATTCAGTTAGACACAACAAAACTTTTTGTTTGTGGTTTAGGATGTTTCTTTAAACTTCTTTTTAATGAGACGGAGCTAAATTTGGCCTCGTACTTCCTTTCAGAATAAATAATTAAGGTTTTTTGTTTAGAAAAGGTTGGCGCAGACTTTTTACATACTCCATTAATATTTTTCGGAAGCTAGTGTCGATTCAGAAGTAGTCTGGGTCAGCTTATCTCTGCATAGTCAGTGAACAAAGGACTTCAGAAAGAAGATTTACCAGTCTGAACTCATAATTAAGCCCTCTCATTTGCTGACCCAATGAGAGCAAGACAGTAGCAAGACTGAATGAAGACACCATCTAAGCTGGACACACAGTGATATATAGTCCTGCATCAGCTTCTCCTGCAGGACAGACAGCAGTTGCATTGCTCCTGCCCCTAACGTGGGTTTTCCCTACCTCAGATAAATGTTCTCAAGTCTGAGCAGCAGTGCCTGGATATCTTTTTTTTTTTTTTTCCTTTTCACTGAGTTATTAACTACTTCAGTATCTGCAAAGCAGAACTGCAGCAGCTGCAGTTTCAGACAATTATAACCAAAAAAGACCATACTGCAGAGATTTGAGGCCTGCCCAGAAGGAGGAAACTGTAAACTAAAGACCTAGGCCTCAGTCGGGCTTCATAGCAACATGTATTATCATTTCTTCCACCCCAACTTTGTGTTCCCTTCCCTTTTTTTTAAATTCTGGACCCACCAAAAAAGTCTTCCGAATAGGTGTGTCCCCTCTAAAAGTATCTGTTTCATTACCCTGAAATTTTCTAACAGGTTTCATATTGAAAAGTACCAACCAGACACAGCTACATATGCTCTCACCATCAGAAAGAGCCAGTACATCCCTTTCACACGGCTTGCAAACCCTCTGCTCGCTCTCAACATCTCAAGCCTGAAAACAGACCTAAATTCTTCCTTGAAACTCAGCTATGGAAGCCAGCTCACGACAGAACACAGCTGCACTTTGAGCTGTTTGAAAATTCACCCTCTACACAACCAGCACAAAGAGAAGACGTCTCTCCTTCCCCAGTCCAGGGCCTGTGGAAACACTAAACCACCCCCCCAGTGATGTCCCAGCCACTGCAGGCTGGATTTGATCTGCTCTGTGCTTTCAAAATGAGTGTCTTCTGCTGACTGACACATTGCTGCATACCATACATGACTGTGATGGCACTAAATAGACCAGAGACCCTATTTGTTGTATGTGATCGTGTCTATAATGCCTACCGGGGAATAGAAAGCCCATAATAGTAATAGAAAAGCCACTAAAGAAGTGTGTCATCAGCAAATATTAGCCAGCAGTGACAGTCAAATAATAATTCCCAGGATGGCATCACATTGCCAGAGGGCTGAGGCCAGCACACGCAGCCTCAAGATCAAATTTTATCATACCACCAGTGACGGCTGCTGTTTAGCATTACCCTCTACACCAGCATCACCACGGATAATACACACAAACAAAATGTGCTAGCTCTTTTGGGTAAAGATGCTGACAAAACAGCAACCCTGGCCCAAGAGGTGTCATTTCCCCCTTGGCAGCTCCCCAGAGCTGTGCATGAACATGGAGAGACAGTGTTGAACAGTTCAAGAGCCAACATGATGCCCCCATCTGCAGTTATCCCCCACCCCATAACACACTTGCTGTTTTCCCCCTGGCAGGAGGACTACAACCAGCTGAGACCCCTGTCCTACCCCAATACGGATGTGTTCTTGATCTGCTTCTCAGTGGTGAACCCTGCTTCATACCACAATGTCCAGGAGGAGTGGGTGCCCGAGCTGAAAGTCTGCATGCCCAACGTGCCTTATGTCCTCATAGGAACACAGGTAACACTCCTCTGGGGCACTGCCGACCATTGCAGGGGTCTTCAGAGTGAGGGGGGTCCTATCTACCCCAGGGGTGGCTGGAGGCTGAGCTCTCTGGAAAGGTTTCCTATTTAACTTCTTATGTGAAATGCAGCCAGATTTTCCCATTAGAAGAAAACTCAGGAACTGAGAATGGAAACCAACATGCAGATGTCCCATCATGCTAGTCACGACTGGCAAAACTCATTCCATGTTTTTATTCAAATGTATATTAATGTGGTATCAAAGCATAAATGCCTATAGGGAGAAAAGATTTCTGACAGGCCTCTGCTGGGGAAAGAAAAAAGAATCAAACCCTGTGGTTAAAAGCAGAAGCTAAACTTCAAACTGTATTTTAAGAATGGGAATAATTAACCAAATGACTTAGAGACATGGAAAGGAAACAGCCTCCCTTATGCTTTAACATCAACATTGCAATTAGTGACTCACCGTCCTGCTTCTGTTATAGTGGATGTTAGACTAAACGATCAAACCACTTTATTTTGGCCTTAAAATCTATGAATCTATCAATCAAATAAAAATGCCTTAAATACAAATTTGCTTCCAAGACACAGAGTGGCTAGAAACAGTGAGAAGCAGGGATACGACCGTCTGGAAAATGTCCGAACACTGGACAGTAACCTAAGCCAAGTTAGAGAAACAGATCAAATTCTGGTCAAAACCAAAATCTTCATGCCATAGGAAAGTCCAATCATTCAAGTACTGGCTTTGTTTTCCACACTGGAATAATCTAAACCACCCATTTTAAAACAAAAGTATTACCCTTTGGATCACACACTCTGAAAATGGATGGGTTTGAAATGCCAGAATGCTTCACTTTGATGTTTTCCATGGAAATAAAGGATTTTGTTTCAAGTCAGTCAGACTGCGCTGCTCCTGTCTGGCCTGTCAGGGTGTTTTTCGGGTGATGCAGTGCAGGGTCGCAGCAGCCTCCCCTTCCAATGGGGCTCAGGCTTCCACCAACACTTTCCAAGATACATTGTGAGAGCCATGGAGAACTTCATTCTACTGTACTGCAGCTACCTGAGCTGTGGAGCAATAACCCACCAGTAAGAATGAATTCACACTAAACAGAAAGAAAAAAAAAAAAGAAAAACATATAAGGAAAGGAAAATACATGTGCAATTCATTTCTGAAGTATCATCTGAGGCTGGGAGGACAGATGCTTTTATGCGAGGACATGACTGTGGGTTCGTAAAGTTATGAATATCTGTCTCAAGAATTACAGCAAGGTGGTACTGAGCATTGTGTTTGTGCATTTTCTATTAGATTGATCTCCGGGATGATCCCAAAACTTTGGCTCGGCTGCTTTACATGAAGGAGAAACCACTCACCTACGAGCATGGAGTGAAGCTAGCGAAGGAGGTAATAGCTTTTTCGGAGGTCCCATGAGATCGATTGATCACAGCTTTCCATTGGGTTTGTTTCATCCGAGGTGAACTCCTCCGGGCCACGTTGGTTGGTCCCGGCCAGAGATTAAAGTCTCTGTTCAGACAGGCTGGACCCAGACACAGGTTGTGGCTCCTGAGCCTGCTGTTGCGCTGTGACACCCAAGTGAGCTCTAAGCAAAGCGGCAAGGTATGCAGGGCAGGTGGACAGCAAAACAGATTGTACTGCCTACTTCACCTAAGTCAAGTGTTTCTCTTTCAGGCTTCTGGCAGGAGGTGCATGTGGCAAACCCCTCTCTGCGGTTACCTCCTTCCAAACTCGTCCCTATCCCTTACAAAAGCACAGACAACTTGATTCTCACTTACCCATTGCACTTCAAGCAGGAGGGAAGGAGCTCCCCAGGTTTCTATGCTATTGCACCTTTCTCCTGGGAAGGCAGAGGGATAAAAGCCCTCCCCAAGCCCTGAAATGCAGGCATCTGGACCCTAGCCATTTCCACCTTAGATGCTGCAGGTGCTGTTACAGGCTCTGGCCCTCAAAGGTCATCGAGAACATCCATTAGCGTGCCTGCTCCCTCACTCAGGATGACCACCTGAGCTTGTCCCTTAATCCCATAGGCAGCCAGATAGAAAACAGAGCAATGACCTGACCCCTTTTCTAAAGGTCTGGGCTTCCCTCTGCGGCAGTACACATACGCATGTAGAAAGATGCTGGAACAGGATCACTCCGTATCTCCCAACAGTGCGTACTCACAGTTTCTCTCTCCTCTTTCAGATTGGGGCACAGTGCTACCTGGAGTGCTCTGCCCTCACACAGAAAGGCCTTAAGACTGTCTTTGATGAAGCAATCCTGACCATTTTCCACCCCAAGAAGAAGAAGAAGCGTTGTGCAAAGTGCCACAGGTGCTGCACCCTTGTGTGAGGTCACTTGGAAAGAAAAGCAAGATGAGTTCAATGAAACCAAGCAGGTTAGAAAGGCAATCAAGGTCACATGCAACTGAAATGGGGAACATGACCAGAAAGGGGTCCTTCTTACTCAAATATAGGAGCCCTCCATTCTGTGAAACCTCCAAGCTGTATCACACTAGGCCAACTCATGTCTATGTGCTTTCCTAACCCTCTAGAGTTGTATGCAGTCTGTTCCCACTACTGCAGACTGCACTGAGCCAACAGAAACCAAGATGCCTGCTCCTGCTTGACTCTTCACCTTAGGAATAAGGTGAAGGTGACATGTGGAAAAACAAAGAACTAAAGGTGGTAAGAAACAAGAGAAACTGCATTTGTGGTCTTAAGCAAGAATTGATCAGAATTAGGAATTTGCAGTACTTGGGAATTGAATCTGAATTGACTGAAAGCACATGGAGATCTGTAGAAATCTAATATGTAAGATATAGACTATAGGTAGGATGTACTTTTAAATTACTTTTCTTTTATAAGACTCGCTAGTTCAGGATATACTTTAGTTTGTTCAAACTACATGGAATCAAAGGTGGAGTGATTCCAGTTTGGTTTCATTTAATGGTGAAACTTCACAGCGTCAGTATGTTTCTGCACCCAAGCTATCAAAATGGATCAACATTTACCTCCAGACTTAAGGAATGTTCTTACAACAAAAAAATGCAAATAACTGTATTTTTACAGGGGAATATTCAGGCTGAGCCATGTTTCCATAAGCTGGGAAAGGAAGAACAGAGTTGTAGCATTAATGTACTGAAACAAAGAAATTCTGCCACCAAAGAATATTGCCCTAGACATGAAACAGCAGCGTGGAACAATCTCCCTCCCAAACTGAGAACATGAACAAGACACATTGCCATGGCAACTGAAAATTTACCTTATTAGATCTGTTGGATTTCTACATCTCACCCAGCAGACAAAAATAGCAAAACCCAAAGAGCCAAAGGTCATACTGACTTCATGTGCTTTAAGGTGACCCAAATGCCTTAAGATTACTTTTTTTATGGAGTATCTCATGTAAAAAATCTCATCAAAATGGAGTTGTAAACATGTTGATTTATTGTAGTCTCCCTCCTCCCATTCATTACTTCTTTCTTTGCTCCCATTTTTCCATCTTCATTACTGTGAGCGCCGTTTAAGTTGCATCGTGGCTGCAGTCCTTAGGAGTGAACTTTCACACGAGTTGCAGATGATGGGCTGCAGCCGATAGCAGGGAGATGGGAAGTCCAGACCTCAAGGGAAGGGAAGCTGCCTGTTAGCTCTCTTTGCTGTTGAAAAAAGCGTGCCTTTTCACCAAAACCTCTCCAGGGAGCCTACACTTTTGCACATCACAGCAACGCAGATGCTCAGAGGTGAACACGAAGGGCGTCTTGTTACTTACATCTGCCTTTCGGTACCTTGGCAATGCCATGAGACTGTCCTGTTAGGGATTTCACTCCTCAAGCAGAAAATCACAGTGCCAGCAAACATAGATTTGAAGACCTCTGATGTAACTCCTTGCAAAAGCAGTGTCTGTAGTCAGCGTTTCCAGAAGTGCTAGGAGTAAGCAAGTTACAGCTGTGCACCCTCCCAGCCCAGGGACACGTGCCCTGCGCCCGCCCTCGCCCCACTCCAGGGGATTGCCAGCCCACTCCCCTACAGAAGCACTGTAGCATGACTGAGGACACACACGCAACCAGAAAAACTGCCATGATTAGTGGTGAATTACAGACCCGGTGTTACTCAGAGCAATTAGCAACTTCAGCAGTACTATAGGAGCTGCACCCTTGGCGCAGAGAAGGGAACAAGCATGATGCAGTGCCCAGTCCTGCAGTCACTGAAGCTGATGGATCCAAGCTCCTCCTTTAGCTCAAATTTTATTTACCATGGACACATACAGAAACTAGATCCAACACCCCAAAATGTTTCCAGGTAGAAATCAACAGTTCTCTCTGACAAAAGCGATCAAATTCGAGGCAGACGCCTTGTTGCTGTTACCCAGCAGGCTTTCACTCACCATCTCTTTCCCGCTGCACACAACCACGGATGAAAACAAAGTTGTGCTAAATCAAAGACAGATAAAAGCAAGATTTCCTCACTGCTGGCATTCTTTATGCACATTTTATATTTGGTTTTATTATGTCCCAGCCATTTGCTTCAAATGGACTGGCTGATAAAGCACAGCTCAGAGCAAGGACAGTGCTGAAGCCTGGTGAAGGAGTTCCCGTCGTGCCGCAGAGGCTGTGTTGCCATCCCCAGGCAGAGCAGTGAGTATTCACACAGCTGGGACATTGGCAATCAGCTGAACTATAACATGTAAAGAGATATAAGGGGAATATGAGGAAAACTAGGAGCAGAGTAAATAAAGAAATATTTGGGGAATGTTTGTTGGCTTACAATGTGACTAGAAGTCCACTGAAACCAAAAAAATAAAAAAGCTTTCAGCAGATTTCAGAGAAAATTGAGCTTCACTGTGATGCCATTTACTTCAGTGGAAATAAACTAGGATGATTACTTTGGTTTAGCTCGTGTAGGTTGCTGTAGGGCACTAGCCTATATACAAGTCTCTGGTTAAAGTAAGTGACATCTGTTTTAGCTGAAGCGCAATGCAAACACTCAGGTTGGAGCTGCCAGATATTCTTAGAGCTTCACAAAATACGAAGGAAATAGCAATCCAGACTGACAGCTGAGCTTATCATAAAATAATGAGCACACTGGAAAAGTGCAATATAGCATTCCCGGCATGCATCAGAGAAAGCCACAAATAATCAAATATTTTGTGTGCCACCAAGTATCAGGTATGTCTATTAATACTAATGGGGTGGCATAGGATAGGAATATAAAATCAAAAATCAAATAAAAGTTGTAGCATTCAGGTAACTGCAGTGGTTTGAGGAAAATTCACTAAAAAACATATGGTGATGTAAAAGCTAAAATGCTACTGTCCTAATGTAACAAACTGCAGCACCCTGCACAAATCATTGCATAGCAGCAAAAGCAGATAGAAAAGTATTAATGTGCATTAAAAAAAAAAACAAAAACCAAACAAAAAAAAAAAACCCCACCGAAAAACCTGTTGAGGCTAACGAGTGTTTTATTTGCATTTACAAAAACAAGCACACCAAGTTTGTAAGGCAATAAAATTTCAAGTTTTTCAAGATGATTGTGACCAAAATTTGACATCTGGGAGCTGCAAGAGAGGGAGGGTGATCACAATCCACTGAGAAATGGCCTCTGCACTCCATTTGCTTTTAATTTCTCTTCCAACAAAAATAAATGGTTTTAAAATAACCATGGTTAATGCAGGTCCCATAAACATTATTCCTGTGTTAGGTTATGTGGCACTTACTCAAGGATCTGCCCTGTTACATTATTATTTTGGGGAGGCAGGAGTAGCACAGGACAATAGGCTTTAGAAAGGGATTGTAGGCAGATGTAAGGAGACTCATTGACTATCTGGCAAGTCATACCTAATACCTTTTCTAAAAGCCAACAGATGGTGTGTGAACAGGCAGCAAAGCTTATTTTCAGAAGTATCAAAACACCAGACACAGTGCAAGCACAGTCATAAGGCAACAGATATAAACTTTGAGTTATTTTCGAGCACCATTAGTAACAAGAAAAGAAAAATCAATAAAGGATTGCCAGGTGAAAGGAGATGGGTTTTCTCACTGTAAGATGAGCTAGGAATCAGACCTCGATTTCACCTTCAAAGGAACATGGTTGGGAGAGTCGTGAAGGCTATAAACCACTCAGGAACCTATTTGACAATGTCCTCTTAATGTAACTGATGTCAAAACCTTTCCTGACAGAGCTGCCTTTGCTAATAGTCTGCTATCATTTCAAAAACGCTCACAACTTGCAAGAAATCTGCTAGATCCTGTAAAACCCATCTTCTTTGGCCTCTTCTGAAACCTTAATGTTCTACCAGGAGTTGTTAACCTGAAATTGTAGTCCCAAACACAGTTCCCAGAAGGTTTTCATGCAAACTTCTGCAAGGAGATATTAGAGATATTAGGTATCAGAGATATAACATCCCAAGACATTAGAGAGTTCTTATCACATTAAAACAACCTACAGATGCCTCTGCCCTTGAGAGCGCTGCTGAAGCACCAGGCCAGTGGAACTGGGGCAATCCTGTGCTACATCACCACTTCCAGCATGACCTGAAGGAGGTCCCACAAAGACTGCCATAGTTTGTCCTGTGCCTCCCAGAGCTCAGAAAAGTTGAGGACAATGCAAGAGCAAGGCTCTAACCCCATGCAGGTCCATCCAGGAGCATTTCTTCAACTGGGTATAAGTCCCATGTACTTATATCCTCCAGGAGTGGTAGGGAGCAGTTCTCAAGATGAGCTGTCCCTGGTTGTCCTATGTACCAAACACTCCCAGACCTTCTCTGTCAGCCCTGTAACTATCTAGTTACAGTAGTATGCAGCTTATGAAGAACAACCAAGTACAAGCTCTTGCCTCGCATTGCTTTGAATTAGGCATGATGTGAATCTTTCCCTCGACTTCCACGTGCACTGGTCCTGATGCAAATCTTCTTCTTGCTGGTGGGAACTGCAGAATTCATTCCAAGTCCAGCATGACAATCAAAACAATCATTTCAGCAGCTGTCATTGATATTTCTCACCTTTTTTCTCTTTCAAAGCACTGCTTCAGTTCAAAATAAACACAGAATTAAATACAGCACTGCATCTTAATATGCAATAGTTATTCCAAACACTTTTATTAAGAGGCTGGATTTTGGCAGTCTTCCTCATATTGAAGAGCATCTTACTTTACAAGGGGTTGTCTCCAACTTCCTCATGTCTCATTCAATCCCAATGATAGTGCTCATGTAAATGAGGGAGACTCAATATGACCATTGGTGACCTGCCCTTGTAGGTAACATATAACAAAAATCTCTTCTAGCTGCTCCAGTCTTGGTGGCCTGTGTCCCCCAAAAAGCAGTGATTTCCATTCCCTGAGACTGTACAAACCACCTGGTATTCTGTCAAGTTCAGCACCACAATTTGTCTGGTATCTGCAGTCTCTAAGAAGTGTGGTAGAGAAGAACCAAGAAATGAGCTGGGAAAGGAGACAAGCCTTGGGCATGCTGCTACACAGACCAAGCAGGACTCCCCCAGAAACTGCAACCCAGTTCTAGGCAAGTGGCTTAAAAACCACCCCACGGGTGGGAAAATGACCACAGCAAATAGAGAGCGAGAGGGAAGAAATATTTCACTACCAGTGACTGTCTGTTGACAATGATTCATGGGCTTCACTTCCAATCGACAGCAAACTGTC